TATGCAGTTAATATTTTAAATAAAAAATTGTTTTATTTAAAATAATATGTATTTGAAATATTATCAAACATAAAACATATATAGTTTTTTTAATATGTTATAAAAATTAAATAATAAACATAAAAATAGAAGATATAATATTAAATAAATAGTGAAATGATTAAAATAAAAATATAGAATAATATATAGAATAAATATTCTTGATATAAAATATCTTATTCTTACTCCAAATCTGACAATTATGTTTATTCGTCTTAATATTGTCATATTTTCTCTATCTATTTCTCGTATTCGAGTCAAATGACTTCTCATATTATGTTTATCATAATAATAAGCCACATGAAATGGTGGAGCTTTATTATCAATTTTAGCTTCAGTTTGAGCAATTCTTCGTTTATATTTTTTATATTCTTTTTTATCCATAACTTTTTTATATTTGAAATAGCTATTAATTGAAATATAATATATTATATTAAATTATTCTATTTTATGTGCATGTTTATTTATATACATGTATTTTGTTATTATATTCGAAGTTAAAATTTATGAAAATATATTATTTTATCAATTAAAAATATTATTAATTAATTATAAACTAAATTATTACATTATGATATAAATATGATTATTATTCTTACCATATTTAATTCTGAATTATAATGACTTTTCTTAGATTTAATATCAATATCATATCAATTGAAAAAAAGATTAAAATTTATAATAAAATTTAATTGACATTTTGCATTTTGCATATAATTATTATTTTAAATTATTATTTTCATTAAAGTTACATTGAATAACTCAATTAAATTCTTTTTTTAAATATTTTTGAATTGTATTAAATTCATGGTTAATTACTTTATCATATAAAAATTTGAAATTAAATTTGAAAAATCGAATTATCGAAATCGATCGATATTAATTTTCACAAAAACTTTTCGTTTATTTTTCGTGATTTTTTATTAGAAAATATATATAAGTTCAATGATTATTAATAGAATATTTTTTTAATTTATTAAAAATTAAAAATTTAAAATTAATTTAATTATTCAATTTAAATTTATTGAATACTTTTTTTCAAAAGAAATTATTTAAATTATATATTTATGAAGACATTGTACAATTATAAAATATCTGTAAAAATACAAAAATTTTGGTTTATAAATGTGTTATAATTTATATAAAAAATTTTCATTTCTATATTTTTACATATAGGTAATGCGCATTTTACTATTCATTCCATGTGAATTCGTTTTATTAAATTGTATATATTAAATAGGGGATTGATGATGATTGATATACTTATACAAAGTAGTTTACAATTTGTTTATAAAAATTATTTTTATAGAAAACACCATTAAAATTATTTAAATAAATATAAATTATAAAAAAATGGCCAATATTTCAAATTCTAAAGATGAAACTCAAATTAAATCACAAGGTTAGATTACTTTTTATCGTTTATTTATATAAATTTATAATGTATTTATATTTTTTATTTTTATAGTTATATTTATTATTTTATTATATTCATATATTATATTCATTTATTATTTTATTTTTGTGTATCCAAATTTCAATTTTTTATATATTTAAACTTAAATATTTAAGTATATATAAAAATAAGAATTGGTTTTACAATAATATTATCATTATATAAGTAATTAAATATTTTATTTATTTATTTTATAATTATTATAATAAAAAAATATAAAAACAATTATAATTTAAAATACAAATAAAAATATATATTTATATTATATCTGTTATTTTTAAGATTTTTTTATTCTGTATTAATAATATAATTTTATTAATGTTTAAGATATACAAGTTATGGGTTCGATTAAACGTACAGAAGGTGATGGAATGGAAAATGTAACAGCTGGAAAAATTGAAATTAAACAAACAAAATGTCGTCTTGGTGAAACATTAATTTATCATCCAACAGATTTAAAACAATTAAGTTCAATTCCTCCAGTTACTCCGAATGGTCCAATAATAAATTTGAAACCAAAATATGTTACTAATGTAAAAGATGAGAAACATATTTTAAATTCTTTAAAACTAAAAGAACCAAAATTTATTCCTTATGAACCATATAAAGCTGCAGTTAATCCAATAATTCCATATGAAAAAAAAAATAAAAAGTTACAAAAAAGTAATGTAAATGTAAATATGACTGTTGCTCAAGTTGCTGCTATGAAACTTCATGAAACAAAAGTGCCATATAATGAATTAAAGATAATGGATGAAAATTGTGTAGGAAATGAATGGTTGAAAGAAAAAGAAGTATATGAAGCAGAAATACAAAAACTTAAAGAGGAAAATAGTCAACTAGAAAATCAATTAAAATTTCAAGCACAAGTACTAAAATGATTTAATTATTTAAAAATTTAACTAATTTTTATTTATAAAAATATATACACAAATTTAATATTTATTTTAAAATATTAATTTAATTATATTAATTATATTAATTTATTTTAAATTATTTGGAATATTATTTTTTTTGTATTAAATAATTATATTTTATAAAATTTTGCTTATATATTTTTGCTTAATAGGTTAATGGAGAATTAAAAAACTTATTAGTAGCTGCTGTTGGAGAAGATCTTGAAACAAAAGTTCATTTGTTAACTGAAGATAAATTACAACTTGCTCGAGCTCTTTTAAATTCTGCTCAACATCTTTCAACTCATCAAGAACAAACAGAATGGTTAGCTGGTCAATGCGAAGTCTGGAGAAGTAAATTCTTAGCCAGTAGGTAAATGAAAATAAATTAACATAAATACTATTTTTTAATTTTTAAATTTATATGTAATTAGTTAATTCTTAGTAATGTTTTCATAGTTTAATGGTTGAAGAACTTGCAAAATGGAAAGCAGCTCTTTGTCAAAGAACTATAGATCTTCAGGAAGTAATAAAAAGACTTCTAGAGGATCGAAATCTTATACGAGATATATCTCTTAAAACATACAGGTTTGTATTTATAAAACATATAATTTATTGTATTAATAAAAAATATTTCTATAGAATATATTAATATATAATTATTATATATTTATATATTATATTTTTATATTTTTTTAGAATACTTAGCATTTTACGTGAAAATTTTGATCCTGTTGCAACTGTTACTTGCAAAAGACATGAATTATTAAGTACAAACACAATAGATTTAACACAAGGCTGTTTCCAACTTGCAGAAATTCTGAAAGTTCAATTATTAAGTGGTGTAGAAAATATTAATTTACAAAGAGAAATTAATATAACTGGTTTAGATATGAAAACACTTGCTGAGAAGACTGCAGAACAAGTAAATCTCTATTATTTTTTCATTTTATAAATAATTTATGTTTATTTTATTTTGTTTTATTTATATTTATTTATTTTTTTTATTTCATACAGCTTCTTATGAGCCCAAAGTTGCTTATGTCAGGAAGACAAGATGTAGCTTGTAGTGCAGTAATGGGAGCAGCTGTTGCAATTGGTGGCCAAATCTTTCTTCCACGAAACGATTCAAATATAACTTGTTGTCCTCATTGTAGTGGTGAAATTAAACAAATTTAAAAAACAAATTTAAAATTTAAAAAGTTTTTAATTTCAATAAATTGCTACAACTTAATAAAATAATTAATATATCGTATTTTTTTAAATTCTATTTGAAATTCTTAAATATATTATATTATATTATTTTTATATTTAGAATTATCAGTTTATTTATAATAACATTGAATGACAATAAAAAGAAATACTGAATATCAATATTTTAATTAATTTTGTACTAATAAAATATAAAATGTTTTAATTAATTTTAAATAAGAAATAAAATGATATAAGTAGAAGATACTTTTAATACTTATAATTACAATAGTAATGATCACTTCATTTTATCTTAAACCTTAAATATTTTTTTTAAAGGAAGTGTTTTTGTAAATTCTTTGTAAAATTTTTGTAAATTCATATAAAATTATAAAAATTTATCATATTAATTTTTTCGTAAATAATTTTTATTTAATATAGATTTTTTTTAATCCTAATTAATTTTAAAATTGTTTAATTTTGTGATAATTTTGATTTTTCAAATTAATTTTCATTAAAATATTAAATTATAATGAATAAAAAATTTTAAAATTCAATTATCTTGGTGTATAATATATTTATATTAAAATTATAAATTAATTTATTCAATTATGTCATTAATATAGTTTATATCATATCATATATGGATAAATAATTTATTTTGTGTTTATAATTTAATATCGTAAAATGATATGTAAAGAAATATATGATTAATTTAAAATTTCCAATATATCTTAAACAAATTTAATATAATTAGTATTTATAGCATTTAATTAATGTGTCAAAAATAGTTAACGAATAAGTTATGTAGTGCAAGATTTCACGTTATTTAATAGACTGCGAAAATCTATCGTTTAGTTCACACTGAGCGATCGTAGCTGTAACATGTCAATTATTATCGACTTTGGACGAGCGCGAACGATTTGTAACGAAATTATTTCGCGGATATTTTTATGTATCTATTGATTTTTTTTATAATTTTATCTTTGAAACTTTTAAAAAAAAGAGAAAAAGAAACATTATAATTGTGAGAAATTTCGAAAATTAAAAAAAAAAAGTGCGCGCATAAAATTAAATTTTTTTTTTTCTATTCTTTTTTTGTATATCAAAGTTTAAAATTTAATTCAAAATATTATTATATATTTTGTTTTCTAATTTTGAAAAATCATAACATGTAATTTATAAATAAAAATGCATTTCTAAAATTATTTTTAATTATTAATGCAAATGATATAAATGATATTCGTGGTATTTATGCAAAGAATTATTTAAATATTTAAATAATTTATTTTCATAAAATATGTCATTTTGCATATTCTATAACAATTTTATATATATAATTAATATCGAATAAAAATTATGTGATGTGCATAAAAAAATAAATATTTGTAAAAAACAAAGAAATTTTTTGCAAAGTCAACAAGAAGATACTGGACGAGTTATTTATGCGATCTATTTTCACGCAAGTTATATTACCTTAGTGGCCTAAAAATATCAGTGAAATTTGATTAGGCACAGCTTGATGCTTTAGTATTACTTATTCAAATATATATGTATGTATTATTATATATAAACATATTTGTTTCGATGTGAATTTTTATTTTTTGAAATTTTAAATTATTTCTTATCATTATTAAATGCATAATAATAGCGGAAACATATAAACACATAACGATATAACAAATAAACATTTAATTTAATAATATTTAATTTTATAATAATAATAATTTTTTTTAATAATTTTTAATTTATATAATATGGAGAAATACGATAATAAAGATTTTAATAAATTTTCTAATAAAACAATAAGGATTTAATAAATAAATTAACTATAAAATATAATATAAT